ATATATATATATTATAATTTAATTATATAATTATATTATATATGTTTTAATATTATATATAATATATTATAATAATAAAATTATATAATAAAATTAAAATTTATATTATAAATATATTAATAATTTATTATTATTAAAACAAAGTTTCAATAAATATTTCAATCTAATTTATTTATTTATTTGGTCAATAATCCTAAACGAATATTATTATGATATCGATATAAATAATAATCAATACTTGTAATAGAAACATAGTTGCAAATTAAAATTCCATATAATTGATACAATTACCCATTTTGATCTTTTATTATAAATACTAACAATTGAAATATTTAAATCAACTCTTTAAATTACTTTGATCCATGTATATTTAAATATATGTTCAATTAATAATATATTCGACTATGATATAAATATAAATATTAAATTAATAAATAATCATAAATACAATACATTTTTATAACAAGGAATCACGATTTACGTGTAAGAATTCTCGCATCTGCTTCTTTCGGTCCACATCTCGTTTCTCTTTCCATCTGTATGGCGTTGTCGCGATGGTGGTTACAAGGCGTTATACTGGCTCGACGTTACGAGCAAAAGGACACGATGGTAAAGGGACAGAAGGAAGGATGGAAGGAAAGAGAGAATAAGAAAAGGAAAAAGATAGAAGAAGAGCTTCGTGGTGGATGCTACGAACAATGCGGCAAGTAGAGGGTCCCCGAGTGCTTTCCTTGGCCAGAAACACTTTTTCTTTTTTATTTTCTCTCTTTCTATCTCTCTTTCTCTTTTACTGTGCTTCGTTGTCCTTTTCTTTTTCTTATTTTTATTTATTATTCAATGGGGACCAGGAGGTGCTCGTTAATCGATGCCACTGGCCCAGTCGAGTGCAGGGAAGAAGAAGAAGAAGAGGAGGAGAGGGTGAGGGATAGAGGGTGAAGCAAGCGGATGGTCTGAAAGAGAAACAAATCGAAAAGAAAGATCGGTGGAAGAGAGTTCTGGGACCACCATAGGCCTTATTTATAACGACGAGAATAACCAAAGGCACCATCAAAATTCCGCATTCCTCGTTGAACAGACACATTGATCGATTTCTCGTGTGATGAACGTAAATTTCAAAATGGAGTATTGACAACAACAAAAAAAGAAAAAAAAGAAGATTCGTAGGACGTTGACAAAAACGAATAATCCAAATTTATTCGAAGTAAAATATAAAACACACACATGCGCTCGTTTTTCTTTTCTTTACATTTTGAAATTAAAGAAATGTTATAGTTTTTTTTTTTAATTTGGATTAATGTTTTACAGATTATTAGGACGAGGTTCCATGCATGTATTCTCCAGCGAGCAATTTGAAAAATTAATGGAAGCTAGCGGTTACAAAGGTCCTTGGGAATCCCTCGTTGATTTGGGTGCTGGTGATGGTGCTACCACTGCTCACGTGGCTCATCTATTTGAAAGAGTTTATGCTACTGATATTTCACCGCCTATGAGATGGGCATTGGCCAAACGAAAATTTATGTACGTAGAGACATGTTAATAACCTTTTGTTTTCTTTCTATTACATTTATAACCGGTTTAGTAAATTAATTAACAACTTTATTAATGCGTGCGTTACATTTGATTATAAAAAATCTTGTGAACTTCGAACTTCTTTTTAATTTTTTTTAATTAGTAAAATTCGTGTGAATTTTATTACAATTTGAGTATTCTGAATTTATACGGGGTCTAGCTAAATATTAATTTATTTGAAATACTAAAAGTTGATTATCTTGTAATACTATTAGAATGTTCATTTCAAGTTAGATGTGCAAATAGAGAAGAAGATAGCCTCTCGACAGTATAGAAAAGCTAGTTTATTACATTGAATTGATTGAAGTAGAAGTTTACGATGGTTTTATATCCCTCGCGCGTCTCTTCTTCGTACATACGTCTTACGTTTCTCGATGGTGGTTACTCGAATTTAAAGTGAATGAGGCAAAACTAAGAATAAGGGTGCGATGGACTCGTATAAAAATTTTATAGACATTCGTTTGGCGGTCTTACCAATAATGATTTTTGCGAGTCGCGACGAAAAAATTCTTTTTCTTATAATTTTAGTCTTTTTCATTATACTTTAATATTTAAAAATTGTCTTCTTGTTTTACGATTAAAGATTAAAAGGATAAAAAGAAAAATCTTTTCCACGCAGAGTATTGGACGTCGACAAATGGTACGAGGAAGCTGGTCAATTCGACGTAATACTTTGTTTGAATTTGCTCGATCGTTGCGATCGTCCTAACAGTTTGCTAAGACAATTTCGAAAATCCTTGAAAACAGGAGGTCGACTAGTGGTAGCATTGGTTTTACCATTTAGTCCATACGTTGAAGTTGGTGATAGAGGTGATCACAAACCATCTGAGTATCTGCCAGTTAAAGGAATTGGCTTGGAAGGTCAAATAGCTGGTTTAGTCGATCGAGTCTTTACACCATTGGGCCTAAGATGTTTGGCTTGGAGTAAACTACCATATCTCTGCGAGGGCGACCTGGGCCAGTCCTATTACTTTCTCGATGATGTCCTCTTCGTTCTGGAAGTAGTACCAGTTAGTAAAACAAATCCTGCGACTAGTTCTTCTGATAGTACAATATTATCGTCATCTCGGTTACAACACTGATCGAAGAAGAACTTTTAGGACAATGTTTATAACGAATATGAAGATAACGTTAATGATACTCATAATGGAACCAGGATTGGCCTAACTATATGATCAAACCAAACAACCAATTGAATGATACAAGGAAATTCAATATTCTATGGATTACTTGGACAACGTTTTAAAAAGGCAAGTACACACACTTGTAAAAACTTTAATAATCGCAGTCATGGAATAGAATAATGCGAGAGTACAGAGGAGCAAATACTGATAAAGCGACAACAAGAGAGCTTAGTGTGCAGACACAGGCAAATAGCGTTTTTCGGTGCACGATATCGTTGATCGTGTTATTTCATCCGGATTTGAATTAAACCGGAATTTAATAGAACAACAATAACGGTGCGCGATTTTACAATCATCTTCTTACTGTCACAAAGTTAGAGAATAATGCGGCGGTAAACGTGTATGCGAATTATTACGGTATCGATAAAATCACACGCGTGAGAGAACAATAAACGCGCGTTTTTATTTTTTGTTCTTTTTTTGGTTTTTTTTTTGTTTTTTTATTATTTTTATTTTTTTTTTTATTTTTTTAGAGAGGTATATCTGAAAAATTTGTTTTCATCGAACCCACATTGATTTACAAAGTCCTTTCAAAAGTTCTCAATATTCACGAAGTTCTCAGATATACCTCCCTCTTACGGATATTGCTCCCTTCCTCTCTCTCCCCTTCTTTTCTTTTTTTCCTCCTCTCAATTTGGTATATTATAGTTGCAAAGACTTATTTGTTAGTCATGGATATGCTTAATTAACGTCGATTTACTTCGACAGCAAGACAAACGGCCAACGTTTGCGGGTCTTTTTTTTGTTCCTTTTCTTTTGTTGGATTTTTTTTTGTATATTTTTTTTGTTTTCGTTTTTTTTTTCTTCTTTCATAATAACTACTACGAGAAAGAAATGAGTCCATCTATTTAATCGGAAATACATGGTTGGTGTAAGGCCGGTTTCAAACGAGAATATGCGCATGAGATGGATACACGTAGGAAGATACGTGTATTTAAATAGGCCGGTTTCACACGAGGATACACCAATGATTAAATCACATCATTAAATGAAATATAAAGTCCCATTTGTGTTCTTCTATCTTCTTCTTGTTCTTCATCTTTAAATAAAAATATGAAATACATTAAACAAGTTATATCGTAAAAATCGTCGTGTGAATGATTTAAATTGATTTTACAAATAAATTCAGTAACCATCCATACACGTATCCTCGTATAAAACTAGCCTACATATATATGACGGTTGCAACCGTCGTTGTATGTATATGTGTGTGTATATCAACGTTTAATATTCGTAAATCTAGCAGCTTGACATATCGAAAGTATTCATAATAAACGTAAAAACGTTTAATCATCGTCATCATCATCATTATCATCATCATCATCATCATCATCATCATCATCATCATCATCGTTATCATCATCATCGGCACATCTGTATTATTCGCTAGCTGCTACTTGCAGAAGACACATTTGTATGAAATTGGTGTAGTAATTAGAAAAAACGTTAGTATTTCGATAGAGAGAGTTTGTTAGGTAATTAGATACTTGTATCCATATAAAATTTTGCTATTTTATAGCCAAAGATTTAACGCGTTCATATCGACCACAGTCACACTTAAAAACAAAGAAAGATTTTTACACACGCGAAAATCTCATTTACACTTTTTTCACATTCATAATCGTGCATACGCGGTATATCTGTGTGACTTATACACATTTATATTTAATATTAATTAGAAAGAAGGAAACATTTCACCATTCGTAGAAATGTGTTGTTATTTTTGCTTAAAAGGATCAAATTTTAAACTATTTTACTTTCTCTTTCTTTCTCTCTCTCTCTCTCTCTCTCTCTCTCTCTCTCTCTCTCTCTCCCTTCTTCTCTCTCTCCGCCTTTTTTCTTTTCATCAGTAACAAAATTTAATGAAAAATATTCATTGAAAGGAGTTAATTATTTTCTTTTTCTTTTGTATAAATTACATTGTGGTATTTCAATCGACTAAGGTAAAAAAGTTCCTAATCAATATACAATATACGATTTCTAAGAAAATGATTTAAACGTCGATGCCAATCACAATTTTTTTTTTTTTAAACAGTTATAATTTATTAATTCCTTTTATTTTTGTTTTTTCGATGTGATCGTAATAATATAACGAAATTAATTTATCGTTCAATAAATATCTATTGAAAAAGTTATTTATTTAATTAGAGTTTACTTTTTCTTTCTTTTTTTCTTTTTTTATAATCAAGTCAAAATGTTGCAATTCGCGTGCCACATTTTTTACCTATGGAGCTTAAAATATTGCGTTATTAGCTAACTTTCCTTTACATATGCATTTGTATACATACATACACATTTATAATTAATAAAACTAGAAATAACAACAATATATGTTCTTCGTTTTTTTAATAACTTTACAAATAAATATTAAAACAAATGCACCTTATTATTGAGAATACAAAAGTGCGTTATTTTTTTATTATTAGTAATAATTCATGAACGTTTAACTCTGTCGACCAGATCTTACTCTCTTTCTCACACACACACACTCTCTCTCTCTCTCTTTCTTTCTTTCTTTCTTTCTTTCTTTCTTTCTTTCTTTCTTTCTTTCTCTATCTATCTCTTATTATTTTTTTTATAACATAAATAATAAATTCTTTCATTTACTAAGTTCATAACAAACGTACAAAATCTAAAATAATACAATGTGAGTATTTATGAAATCACAATTCCTTCTTTGTGCTTTTTTTAAAGCTTCCAATGCTTTCGTTTAATAATAATCCTTGTCGAATCGATACAAATTCGAAAATCTTGCATTTTATCATCCTTTAATGCCTATTCTCATTGCACCGATGATTAATTATAAATCCGTACATATATCTAATAAATAATTTTTTTTTCTTTTTTTCTTTTCTTCCTTTTAGAAAAACCGTAATATATACCTTTAATCAGGTAATCATTCGAACACAATTGGCGAGTTATTAAAATAATCTACAATAACATCAACTATAAATAGACAATAGAACATAACTGTGATTCAATTTATATAAATAATATATTATGTATTTAAATATAAGCTCCATAGGTAAATTTCTTTCGTCCACAAAAAATCAATCAAATAATGATAATAATTACAATAATATTAAAGAATAATAATTATAATAATAATAATAATAATAATAATAATAACAAGATAATGGCTAACCTGAATTTCTAATTTAACGCCGTGAGTGGTTTTTTTTTATCAGTTTTTACTACATATAAATTTTCTTTGCTACCCACGTATATCACAGTCCACGCATGACTCGTTTTGTCTCTTAGTATTTGAAGTCCTAAATGCCAACAACATTTTTTCATCAATCCCACTTGGGTTTTTGTTTAGAATAAACTAAACAACCCTCTCATATACACTTTCTGACTAGAACACCATAGAGCGCAAAGACGAAACATTGGTCTTATACTATTTTTAAGCTAGAAACTAGATCATCTAGTCTAACTTGCGCTGTTCGCATAATTCTTCTAATCCACCAGCTTTTCTATAATACAAAAAATAAATATTAATAATTATTTTTTTTTCTAATATTATCATGTAATATTTTTTATATTAAAATTGTATACTGGATGTTACATAACTGGTGAAACAAACAATCAGAACACCCTGTATATTAAAATTATATTATATACTTACAATGCGGGAAGATAAGGAGTACTGGTATGATCTAACCGATGTTTATCTTCATTTTTCCAGCTCACGATTGGTATAATAGGTGGTGGTATAATACTCCTCAGAGATTGTACAAGCTGTATCGTATCAATCAAAGCTACACGGATTAATAATATCAATTAATCAATGTAACGATAAACATCACAATGAAAAAAAGGAAAAAAAAAGCAGAAAAAATATATGTAAACAAAAATCAGAAAAAAAAATCAATCTATGTCTAAAAATCTACTATAATACAGAATTATTTGTGTTAAGAAATATAAAATATAAAATAAATAATAAATAATATATATATATATATACATGTATGAAAGTAAAAAAAATCGTTTTAATGTTAAATTATTACTTTTTTGTAATGCTTCAGATTGTTTCCCATATGGCTTGCACATTGCAGGACGTATGCAAGTCTTCATCCTGGCCGTGTTTTTTATAACTTCTGCATAAGCTCTAATAATCTTTTCTTGTCCAACTAAATGAAAATTCGTAACAGTTAGTAAGTAAAAAAAAACAATTTATTTTAATATATACCAAAATATTTCTTAATTATTTCCAATTTACCTTCCAAGTTAGAAGAACTCGAACGTGAACCCTTATCATTTTCTAACGGCCAAGCACCGTTGTGTAAAGCTAATAAATCTTTATTTGCATTGCTTAAACTTTGAAGATTACCTAACCCAAATCCACTAAGATTGTCCAAATTATCCAAATTTGTTCGTAAGAAATCTGTTAATTTGTGATCCGATATAGGAATATTAGGTATTAGCGATTCATAATGCTGTTTATTGGTTGGTACTTTTTTTTCTTGAGACACAGGCCGATGTGGAATATTTAAAGATGGACGGCTAGGTGGACGTTGTATATTCATTTGATTACCACCACCTCTCATTTCTGACATGTCCGCTCCAGTTCCCATTGGTAAGTGTGTATTAGGATTACCACCACCCAAAGCCTACAATATAATAATAAAATACATATGGTACACACACATGTATATAAATTGATGATCATGATTTTGTATTTACTGGTTGAAAATCTGCATTATGCGGAAAGCCAGTACGTAACAGGGATGTTGTAGCTTCATTTTCTTGAATATATGTAGGTGCCATATGACCCATCTTCTGCATCTCAAACTGATTCTTGTATCGACAAGCTGGATTTGGACAATTTTGTACAATCTCGATGATAAATTCCTTCTCCATTCCAAAATATTCTCGTCCAATCGTATAAGATTCCATAACAGCTCTAACTGTTCCTTCCAGTCCCAAATGTATACCCTGTGGCCCAGTCATGTGCTTCATCATCACCGCGTTGGCAAAATGTTCATAAGGTAATATTATTTTTCCATTTTCTCTCAATACCAATCTTCCTTGTGAATCAACCGCTATTCTGGATGCCATCATTCTGTGTATACATTAAAAATAATATTAAAGAACGGTTTGATGGACAAAATATAAAAATTGATAGAAAATATATTAAAATATCTAACAAAAATTATTCTTACTGTAAATACGCAGCATTTGGTATTATAGATCCATCCTTGAATTCAGCAAAGCATTGTAACAATTCAATGCTGGGATTCCAACTTTTATTTTGCAAATACGCTTGAATTAACATGTATGTTTTCTCCGTTACATATCCTGCGCTACTTGGGTTACCAGGATACCCTGAACCTCCACCCGGTGGACCCATCTCTGTTTGCATACCTTTGGCAACAATATTTTTCATAGTTTCTGCCAAGTCCATTCTATATGTAAGATAAGGTCGACATACATAAGTCATATAATCATTGAATATTATCTTTGCATTCAAATAAACCATAAGAAGGAAGCATTACTCCATTTCACTCTTTAATTTTCTCTGATATATATATATATATATATATATATATATATATATATACATAAAAGTAAACTAAAATAACAAAAAGAAAATGCACACATACATACATACATACATACAGAGACAAATAAAAAAAGAAAATTATAGAGTGTTTAAAGTAATCAAAATGTATATATTTCTCTGAACATAAATATCACATAAAAATTATATAACTGTATTAAAATTAGAGGAAAATAATTGAATATTGTTAATAAAGAAAATAAAATGAAGAAGAAAGTAGGTGGCTCATAGTGAAGAGTGTACTCTTCAAAGTAAGCCGCACGTGCAACAGGGCGCATCAGAGTTGAAGATTCGTGCAACAATATCGGGCTATAGTATTGCATTAACAAGGTATACTACATGTTGTAGTTATCCATATCGACTAAAAAACTAGTCAATGATAACGTAAACCTTGGCTAGTCTTACATATTCGGCCATTGTTATCGCAAGAGCGAGCGTGGCCAGGGTGTGAAGGAAACGAAACGATAAAAAAACATTTCTACGGGCCACCGCCCCCCTTTGGAGAGTAGCGGGAGGGGAACGAAAGTTTTCTCAAAACTCACCCCGCACTGGGCAGCCAGGGAACTCCTTTCACCGTAGACGGGAAGCTGGCAACGGCTACGACGCCCGTTCGCCACCTAATCCTTTCTACTCGGCATGTTAACGCAATTAATTAATCCCCGTTCGTATTTGCAAATAACATAAATCGCGATAATTATTTCCGCGAGTATAGTTTCGCCGGTTTGCCGCGAGAGTGCGCTCCAGATGCATCGCTCCTTCACACAACTTACTCCCACTCTTCTGCCACTACCATCCTTCCCTACTCCCACTCCCTCTCTATTTCCCTCTCACTTTCTCTTACCCATTCGCCGCTCAGCTCTAAAAACGGACTCATTGTTGCGCGCCGACCAGCGCGAATCGTTCCTCGAGACAGGTGACGCGACAACGCTTTGCGCATTTATCAATATTACTTTATCTTTTGTAACCGATACTATATATGACAATTTATATGCGCTACCTATGACGACTTTTGGAAACAGTGCGCAACGTCTAACCCCTTCTTCCTTCACCGTAACTTCACCTACTACTACTTTTCTTTTTTTTCTTTTCCTAGCCGCTTAATATTAAAATACACGTTACTTTGTATTACGGTCTTTAACATAAATTAATATATATAAATGAATTTTGGCTATTTCATGTTATTAACAATCATTATGATTCCTATCGTTTATTTTAAATAGGAAAATGACTATTGAAAAATATGCGAATCATACCAGTATATGTTTTAATATGTTCATTAATTATTTATTCTCTTTTTGTTAATTATAATTAAACCAAGTATTTTAGATACGTATTTTTTTAGTTACTTCGTCTATCAAACGCGATTCATGAGAAATAAAAATGTTGAATAATTTAATAAATAATAATAGAAATATTTTCTCGTGAGATTTGAACTTTAATCTGCATTGTAATTCGTTGACCGCATTCATTAATCGAAAAACAATGGTACCAATCGTAATATAATCTCGTCGGTACCAATTGATAAACAAAAATGTCCCTATCAAGCATAAACATGGCCTCGCGGTATAATCACGGTGTTCAGCGAGTTTTAGCTAAATTAGAAGCATCTATTAATTCAGAAAATTATTATGAAGCTCATCAAATGTATAGAACTTTATATTTCAGGTGAGTTGGTTAGAATCATTAAAGTGTAGTGTTAAAAACATCAATTTTTGTACAATCACCATGATCACCTAACCTTTTTGTCTAGATATCTCGGACAGAAAAAATATGCGGAATTATTGGAATTATTGTACAATGGATCTTTGCTTTTATTACAGCACGAGCAGGTACGTTAATGATGTAAAGTATTGTTATTACAATAAACAAACATATTTCAAATGTTTTTTTTTTCAATAAAATTAACATATTAGACTCGTACCAGTCTTTAAAAGTCGACATTTCTAATAATAGCATCTATTTAAACTGCATTGACATAAACATCATGAAAATACTAAATAATATTTTAAAGTTATTTGTTATCTATTTATTCTTTATCAAAATAATTGCTTATTCTCAATATCTATGAAAAAATATTAATTCTAGAACATTTCACAATGAGAGAACGTTCCAACTTTTTATCGATCATCAATGAATCAGACAATGATTAGAATAATTGTTCTTTGAAGGATGTCATGCATTATAACTATATTTTTACAGCATGCTAGTGGAGCCGACTTAGGAATCTTACTTGTTAATGTTTTAATACAATCAGAGTCAGAACCATCATCAGAATATTTTGAAAAGATAACGCATTTGTTTAGTTTAATGAGCCCGTTTTCTCCCGAAAGAGAAACATTTATACAATCGGCTCTTCGATGGAGTATTAAAGGGACAGATTATAAAACTGGAGATCCTGAATTACATCAAAGAATAGCACAAGTATTTTGGAAAGGTAAAAGATGAAATAAAAGAAAATAGATTATAAAGGTATCGTCTTAATTAATATATTGACTACATTTTCTTTATGGTTTAGAAAAAAATTATATAATGGCTAGGCAACATTTCATACATAGTAAAGATGGTTCTGGATGCGCTGCAATGTTAGTAGAATTACACGAACAACGTGGATATTCAAATGAGATAGATCTTTTTATAGCCCAAGCAGTTTTGCAGTACGTATTTTCAACATTGTTCTTCTTCTTCTTTTTGTTTTTTAACATTATTATATGATATTAATTTGATTGATTTTGTATCTTACAGATATCTTTGTTTACAAAATAAAAAAACTGCACAGGAAGTATTCAATTCATATACTTCTCGACACCCAAAAATAAATAGCGGTCCACCATATCTTCTTCCTTTATTGAACTTTCTATTCTTTTTATTAAAAACAATCGATAGGTTAGTATATTCATGTATAAATTAAAAACATATAATATTATTTATTTATTTTTACATTATAATTATTAAAATTGACTTTTCAGCGGTAAACTAGGAGTCTTTACAGTTCTTTGCGATCAATATCAAATATCTTTGAATAGAGATCCTTGTTATCGACAATATTTAGATAAAATAGGCCAATTGTTCTTCAATGTACCACCACCACGTCCTCGTAATATTGGATTATTTGGATCAATTCTGCAATCATTTTTTAATGGTTTAGAAGATGATTCTGATGATGAACAGCGAAATATAGCATCGACGTCGCATGCGACACAAGAACTTGACTGATTAAAGGTTAGACAACACTGTGCAGTGTGATCAAAGTAGTAAATACTGAATCTTTTTTATGCCTTCGTCCCAGATATTTTCAGCTCCTGTATCTCTCCATCGTATACCTGCAATCGTAAAACTTTAAAAGAAGTGGTGCAGTATAGGTTTCAGGAAACATAGATGCAGAAGCCTTAGGTGTGAAAGTATGTGGGGGAAGATTATCGAAAAAGGTTTTTAACAATATTGCTGCATGTATATACTGAATTCAGAATAGCAACGACAACAAATATTATTTGTTTTATTTACTAATATTCCAGTTTTTAAGGAGTTTTAGAGAACACTTAATAAATATGTGAATTATGAAATTTATTCATATCCCTAATTAAAAAATAAATAAAGAGAAGGAAATCATTTTGCACTGGCTGTAATGAATTCAGCAAATATGCAGGCTATAAAATAATAACAAACATAAAAGTTTGGTCATATGAATATGTCATTAACAATAAAATGTCCTATTTATCATACATAATATAATCATTATATAAAATCATGTATTTGCGCGTAATTGTTAGATCAAAGATTTATTTTATATAAGCTACAATTGCAAGACAAATAAAAACCTGACGTAATCTTAACATTGTAACTTCCGACATAAGGGTTCTTAACGCATTCGCTGATATTATAAATATTGAGTGTAAATTGTAATTTGTAGTAGCAAGCAATATACTTATCTATTTTAATCTGCCATTATCTACCACAATACAACACAAATGGAACTTTTACAATTATAAGTAATCTTATATAATATATTTCATCGTAAGTTTAAAAAATATATGAAGAAAAAGAAGTTAATGAAGATTTAAAAAAAAGGAATAAATAAATGAAGTTAATCGTAAACAGTGAAATGATAATACTAAAAATAATTATAACATTGGCATGTGAATTGAAAAAAAATGGGCGAAAAAAAATAATATAAAAATAAAACAAACAAACAATGCTTAATTAAAAATCTTAGATTTGTAATAAAAAACATATTCGTATATGTTATATTCTATAAATATTGTGTATATATATATATATATACACACATATATATGAAACATTCTGTTATCACAAAATCAATGAATTTATTTCTCGTGAATTTGTGGGTGTAATGATTAAAATCAAATTAACATACATTCGATTATTTTATTTCGTAAGTGAATATATTATTAGAAGGTTTTTTTTCATTTTTTCTTTTTCTTTAATAAAAAATATAAAACAAGACAAATTTGTTAATATAATTGTAGTAGGTATATAGAAAATCTTTATATAGAAAATATTTTTGCAATATTTCAAATATTGACAGATATAATAATGATTAAAAAGAAAGCAACATTATAAGCATAAAACATTTATGTTTATATTATAAATATTTATCACTATTTATGTGATTTCGTTTAAACAATAGTAAATATTACATCCAGAAATATCAAATATATATAAATTCATGAGTTTAACATTAGAATACTCTCTTTACATAATGATCACATAACTGGCAAAAAGAAATAATGTACAAATATAAACAATTATGTTTAAGATTCGCTAAAAATTAACTCAAAATCATTTCTAATTATTATTCTAAGAAATTATAATTCAAACATTAAATATATTAATATTAATTAATAAGAATAATAATAATAGTAATAATAATGGCAAAGTTTTATAAAGAAAAGACACAAAAAAAGAAAAGAAACACTGGGCATAAAAAAATGACTTTGACTATATATATATATATATATAGTTCCTGTATATTCCTACTTTATTTTCCAACTACTATTGTAATTTGATTAAATACGTTTGATTGTTATAGAATAATATCCGCAAAGAAGTCATTCATATCATGCTCTGAAAAAGAACAAAATTTCAACTTCAGATGTTAGGTGTATAAATTGAGTGTGAGCTTTATTATAAATGTATCGGTTATAGGCTTCATACCATAAATAAATAAACAAATAAATAATTGATTAAATAACAAATGAAATCATTTTAGCATGGTAACGAAAATTTATATATACGTATGAATATTTTATCTATTAAAAAAATATAATATCTACTTATTATATATACTATTTATCTATATATATATAGATATACTTATTATATATACTATTTATATATATATATGAAAATAAAAATTAGATAATTATTGATATATACAATTTATAGTAGGAATTGTCAGAGAACTATAGATAAAAAAAAAAGAAGAAACCTTGCAAATGAATATCTCGAAAGAAAACTTTATTATTATTATTTATTTTTTGTTTTTCTTTATTAATTCATGTAACAATAAAAACAGTATAATCTTGAGTGTTAAAATCCTCAGATATTATTGTGTGCAAAAAATGATAACATAAATGATCACATACGTGTTATATAGTAAATCAGTAAAATATATTAGACTGCAATATGTAATGCAATCTATATGACCCAAAACATTAGAAATAAATACTAACTTTTAATTATTACTTTCTTATTTAAATACCTTTTTAAAAAAATCATATAGAATCGTAAATGTGTATGTGTATAGTAGGAGGGATGAAAATTTGAACCCTCGATGGTGCTAAACTTTAGCATTGGTAGTTGTTTCGCATGCGCGTTTGACTACGTTTCTCATCTATTTATATGTAAATATTTATAACTTTTTCTATAATACTAATCATATTTATAATAATATAAATATCTGAAAAGAATAATATCATTTTCTAGAAAGATCAATAATTTATTTCTAAACGATACGTTTAAATATAACATAGATTTTATATAAAGAGTATTTATTATATCCTACTTAAACACTATATATGTAATACATATATATAATATATATAATTATAACCTAATTCTTATATATAATTTTAAAAAAATCAAGAATTATTTTTATTACAAAACATAAAAATCAAATTAAAAAAAAAAATACTTTTTTAATCCTTGATAGACGTTTAGATTTAACCTTATCAAACGCTTATCACCTTTCATGTGACAAGGTTAGTTTTATCAGAAAAGTTGATGTGCTAACGTCTACTAGAGGATTAATCAAGTGAACATATTGTTAATATCGCTCAATTCCTGGAATTGGAAATTGGCAAGAAAAGGTTTCAATTTCAGTTTTTAATGCAGCAACTTTAGCTTTAATATCAGGGTCAGTATTCAGTACTTTCTTAAAGTCAACAAGTTTGGGTCCAGATATTTTTGTTATTTCTTTAGATAATAGTAATCCTAGAAACAAGAAAAAGCATAATATAACATTATATAACATTAAGCAAATTATTATATGATTAGGATAAAATTACTTTGTCAATAATACAAACAAAATAGAAAATGAATTTACCTTTATGTATAAAGTCTGCGACTTTTTCAATGTCTTTTTCTTTGAGGCCACGCGTAGTCAGTGCTGGTGTTCCTAATCTAATACCACCAGGATTAAGCGCACTTTTATCACCAGGAACAGTATTCTTATTACATGCTATAGAAATTTCTTCTAAAATTTTTTCTGCCTTAGAACCCGTAATTCCAAAGGGCCTCAAATCTACTAATAACATATGAACATCAGTTCCTCCGGTACTAATCTTGTAACCAAAATCTTCTAAACATTTGCACAATCTCTTTGCGTTGGCAATAACTTGTTTTTGATAAGCAAGAAATTCAGGTGTTTTAGCTTGTTTCATTGTTGTAGCAATGCCAGCAATTGCATGATTATGAGGTCCACCTTGAAGTCCTGGGAATACTGATTGATTAATCCTATTTTCTAAATCATACATTATTTGTGTTCCATCCTTTTTTACACTTTTAACACCTTTTCTATAAAAAATGACACCAGCACGAGGACCTCTGTTTAAAAAAACAAAGAAATAAACATAAGTACAAAGTACATACACAAAAAATATAAATCACAAGTTGAATTACTATGATAAATGTTTTATTAATTAACCTTAAGGTTTTATGAGTTGTAGTGGAAACAACGTCACTATATTCAAACGGACTAGGAATTAAACCTGCTGCAACTAAACCAGAGATATGAGCCATGTCGCTAAACAGATAAGCATTGTTTTCATCTGCTATTTCTCTAAATTTTTTATAATCTAAACATCTGCTGTAACAAGATACTCCTGCTATAATAACTTTTGGTTTAAACAATTGCGCTTGCTCTGCTAATTTGTCATAATCAATAAAACCTGTTTCAGGATTAACTTTATAAGGCATGGATTCAAAGAAAATTGATGTTGCAGAGATCTTCTTGGTTGCAGTGAAAAATCCTAAAAATTAATAATAAAAATATGACAATTAATATAATTTATGAGAATATTAATATAAAATAAGTAATATAATTCCAACCATGTGTAAGATGTCCACCATCTGGAAGATCTAAACCCATGATACGGCCATGAGGTTCTAACAATCCTGTGTAGACCGCAAAATTAGCAGGACTTCCAGAATAAGGTTGTACATTGCATCCCCATTCTTCGGGATTTAAATTAAATGCTTCTAAAGATCTTTTCTGTGCTAATATTTCTATTTCATCAATGTATTCGTTTCCACCATAGTATCTAATATATGAATAATACCAAATTGGGTAAAGATCTTATTGATAAGATAGAATGAAATCTTAAGATAAAGAAGACGATGGATATGGAGAATAATAAGATACCTTTGTCCCGGAAGACCTTCGCTGTATTTATTATGAAGACAAGAACTTAAACATTGCAATACACTGAGAGATGTGAAATTTTCACTGGCAATCATTTCGAGACCAGATTCCTGACGTCTCTTTTCTTTTTCCATTAATTTAAATAATTCTGGATCAAGATCCCAGAGATTACCATACAAAATATCCGCCATTGTCTATAAATTACACGTATAAACAGAAATAAAATAAATAATTAAACAATTTTCACAAAATTGAAGAAAAATTCTTCAATAATACCACACACGTGTGCAGAAGATGAAAATAAATGGAAGAAAAATAAATTACAAATTTTAATAGATATTAACAATTTGAAAGCTTAACGTTGAATGCCAATCTTATTTATTAATCTTCTTATATGAATATAAAAAGTTCAATAAGTTAAAGGAACGATAACCTTTGGTACAGTTTAACAACTTAATCATCAGCCACTCGTTACAAAATGTATTTTCAAAAGGCCTCCACATATATAAATATCTTCTAAGTATAAGGATGTAAATGAAGAATATTTTTTTCTACATTTGCTATTCGTCATTTCTGATGGATCTACCATGCATAGATCGTTTGAAAAAAAAAGGCGCGAATTTTTTTCAAAAATCGTTTTTTTTTCGATACTCAATAAATAATACTGACAAAAAATTTATAACAAAAACTAAAAAATTGAAAAAGAAGAAAAACGTTGATTTCTTACTTGTTGATTAGGAATGCCACAGGTGGTCGTACAAGTGGTGACATGAAAACTCCTGTGGAAACTGCCATAGATGCCAAAGAGGTGTTTTTGAATACACTCAACGTCATTCTTTATGACGTAATTAATAAATAGTTTATTGTTAATAAATTTAAGACCTTGGCGACTTAAATGAAACCACGTTCGAAGCATTTTCACAAAAATATATTTAATTTAATTAATAAATATCGAAATCAATAAAATAATGAATGCATAAGTGTTTCTTCGGTCAACACAGTTGAAATATCAAAATAAATGAATTTTTACAGTACATATGCTTCATTCAAAGGTGATCCACTTCTAATAAAAATGTAACTTCTTTTATCTAAATTAGATAGCCTATAAGATAACCTACACTAGAGTTCGTTGATCACATGTGAAGAGAAGAAAAATAAATTTCAAATATTACGTCTTATTTGTGAGTATGCGTATAGGGGATACCTATGCTCGTTAAAATTTTTCTTGTTCCGTATCAAGTTTTTCCATTTAACTTCTAACTCTATCTCTAATAAACCTTTCTCTATCTACTTTCTTTATTACCTAATATTTACTCCATCCAACGTCAAGTACAACCAATCGTTTAAATTACTAACCCGTATTTCTATATATATATATACATAAATGGAAAGAACATGTTTCCTGCTTTAATCCTAAATTCATTCATTTGATTTTTTCATTCAGATAAGAATCTACTCAAATTTGATGTGATAACGTACATAAATGTATACCATACTTATACATGTGTTATACTGAAGTATCGACTTATTCATGTTATTCGTAAACGTTATCGATTTAAATGAATACAAAAATATTTGCAATATTCAAATTAATTTTTATCTTAAACATATTATCAAGTTGATATAAAAAATATGATCAATAAAATTTGTTAAATAAACGATCTATTGTATTACTATGTGAATATTATTCGATCGTGCAAGATCGATTTTTTTCGCATGTATTCGTCTAACGCGAAAGTCAATTTGAAAGTAGTACACATTCTCTATATGCATATGTAAGATCATTGATTACTATAATTTCCTTTGTTGATTTTCCAGTTTGGTCGGTTTTTAATGAATATTTTTTGTCGCAATACCAACACAACATTTTCTTCTACTTACGTCAAGATATTAGCTTACATATGATACTCGTTATCATATAACTTTCAATGCGGGAGGTCTTAATATTTATAAGTGTTTTTTATGTTGTTTTTCATTTTTTTTTATTTCTACACATGATAACCATAACCATTTTATTATTTATTGCGAATATATCGTATTTTATGAAATCACATTCCTATGTCATAGATTATCGATCAATATACGTAATCATAAAGTATATTATGCTAATCCCAAAAATAAGTATTAGCAAATACTTCCCATTAAATATTGTACCTTAACCCTTTAGCCTACAATCACGTGGTACTTCATTCAGAACAAATGTAAACAAAAAACGAGTTAGACACGTGGTTCAATTGTTCCTCAGTACACATGTCATAAGATGCATATATTTAGCACAAGTTTGAGCACACGATTTTTAAGATCTTATCACACAAATGATAAGATTTGTAATTTAAGATAAAGATAATCTATTGATTCTACTAATCGCTAATACGGTATAGTATCTAATACTTGATTTTAATAATGAAATCAGTTTATATAAAACATGGATTAATAATCCACAGTGGGAATTCACTGTAAAACTGTATTAAGCAATCGAGTAATCGGTCACATCTAATAAAAAGCGAACAATACAACCAGAAGTATCTCAAAAATCCCCTTTTCTTTTGTTTCTTCTATCTAGTAAAGTAAAAAATTATCGATAAGATTAACAATGAGTTGTTCTCACGCTCATGTAAGAAAGAAACAACTCCTCATCGTGAATGCATCAGCTCAGGATTTATGCTAAGGATTTTTCAAAATATACTACAGAAATGATTCTGTGAAGTTATGATCTTAATGCATCTTCCATCTTGAATTTGTTATTTATAGAATGCAATGAAATAATTCACTCATGAGAAACTATTTATAGAATTTGTTATCTAGTGTTTTATCAAAGAATTGAACGATTTACTAATGATAAGGATCTGTATATATGTATGTATACAGCAAGATTAATCAGCATGATCAGGAGACAAACAACGTTAATAAATCCAATTTCAATGGATAATCGAGACTAGAGTGGAATTATTTAAAATACGTTTTTACAAAATAAGATTTTGTCTGTTTATTTTTTTGTTTTTATAACATAAATATCTATGTTTTTATGTATATATGTATATGTTTAGAACTTCTCTTTGTACTGATGACGTACATTGTATTACTATTTTATCATTTAATATTTTAATTTAATTTGTAATCAACAAATTGAATATTTGTAACAAATGCAAGTAAATAGACAGATTATTTACTTAAATAAGACCATATAATTATAAATAATTGTATATACAAATACAATGATTAATACGTAATCTTTCTTTTATGAATTAAGTTTCTTTTTTATGTACACATTTTCGCAATCAACAGCACATGGTTTTTGTTTCTTATGATGGATATCACACACATTCCCATTCATATTATTATTTGTGCCTACGTTGCTTAATGACTTTAGTAATTACCCGAGAATTTATATTCGCTTTCGTGCTCCTTTATAATTTCAGAAACAAATTTCGCAGCATTTGGTTCTTTCAATTTAATTAATATATCATGTAATTGCTGAAGAGAAACGTCACCTTGTATCTAAAAAAAAACAAAAAAAAAAAAGAAAAACAATTTTAAAAATTAAAAAATCATAAATAAATTGGTACTAAAAAAATAATAATAATAGGGATTAACTTACATCTATATAGTTTAAAATTAACAAAGTTGGACTTAAACTGTTTAAGCGCGCTGTATCTATAAGAAATTCAATGTCTAGATGTTTAGCTAATTTTTTCCAAGCTGTTGATTTTTCTAAAACTAGAGCAAATTTTCGTTTATCCTCGTTACTCAACCAACTTTTTCTTATATCCTCATCCAATATTTCTTCTTTTGTAATAATAGCTAAATTATTATCATTTTCTGTATTTTTATCATGAGCCTTAAGAACTTGTAAAATCTGTAAAAAAAAAAAATGTACAAATACAATATTTCCAATCCTTCAACTATATTAGAAATATTTATATATAAACATTTTTATGACTTAGCACAGACTTCTGGCTTATTCGTCGCTAAATCAAAGGATGTCTGTCCAAGTTTTTCTTCACTTTCTTCTTCTGAGTCTACTTCACTCTTTATCTTAACAACTTCACCTTCCTTTTCCTTTTCTGTGTCTACTTCACTCTTTATCTTAACAATTTCACCTTCCTTTTCCTTTTCTGTGTCTACTTCACTCTTTATCGTAATAACTTCATCTTCTTTTTCCTCAGACTGGTTTTCAGTCTCTTCAATCTGCAAATATGTGGTTTATTACTTTAACAATAAATTTTACATCCTAAATTTTTGAAATAAAATATTCTTACAAAAAATTATTATGTATAATTCATATATAGATATATTTACATACATTTTCTGATTTTATAATAGAATTATTCTGAATATTTGGATCTGCTCCATATTCCATTAATAATTTACATAATTCTTTTGCTCTTGTTCCGGCATATGCTACTGCAATATGTAATGCTGTATTTCCAGTAAAGTTAGTCTTGTTTACATCAATGCTAGTCTGTCAAAATGATACGATTAAATATTATATATATCTAACATATTATTATTAGATAGATATCGAAAATATATTTTTTATGTTAATTTATGTATATATTAATCTTACGTTTTTCAATAAAAATTCAACGATTTCTTTATGACCTCCTTCAACTGCTATATGTAATACACTACGGCCATACGATTTATCCGTATTATTTACATTAGCACCTGCTCGAATAAGAGAACATACAGCATCATATGAACCTGCTTCAGCAGCAAGTAGTAAAGGTGTCCATCCAAGATCTGTGTAACCTTCCGTATTAATTAATTTACTAGATAATAACGTATCAACACATTCCGCGCCATTATGTACTGTAATAAATATGAAAAAAAAAACATAGGATATATGCATTTGAAGTAAATATGATTATATATTGTGTGTAGATTATATTATATATATATATATTTCTTATAGCACTTACTTTTTACAGCAACATGTAATGGAGATAAACCTCGGTCATCACATGTATTTGGATCTGCACCAAGTTCTAATAATGCTTTTATGATAGCTGGTTGATTTTGCAATACTGCATAATGTAATGGTGTCTAATTTGTTAAATGAAAACAAAACTCATATAATATAAATAATCAGTATAAATAATTAAATATTAGATTATTAAATGAATTTTAGTTTAGTATGAAATAAAAACATACATTGCCTGTACTGTTTTGAATATTTATAACTGTTTCATATTCTGAATCAATCCCCGTAAGTATCAAAATATATTTGAAAATGTCAAATTGACCATGACGAAGAGCTACATGTAATGGTGAATCACCAAAAGTAGAACGATGCATGAATAAATTTTTTAATTGTTTTTTTTTACTAGGATTAATTTCTCCATTTGCTTCATTCATTCCTGAATTAATAATACTAATGGCTTCCATAAAAATATCCTTGGCAAACATGGTATCATCATCCGACTGTTAAAAATAATACAAATATATATTAATGTAAATAGTATAATGTATAAAGACATAAGTGCTTGAAAGAGAATAAAGAAATGGCAGTCCTCGCTGAGATGTAATTACGTATACGCATCGTTATTAAATTAATTTAAGATCATATTTTAATTAGTTAGTTTAATTACGTTTGTAATTAATGACTTACTTTTTTTGTAGAAGATGCACCATCAGATGTAAGCACTCCTTCTTCACTATTAGCTACTAGATGCGTATACACTAAAATTAAATCGTATTAAAGAATTTCTTACGTACAGATAAATCATGAAACATTAAATAGGCACATATTTATTAATAACTTACTATCTAGGTCTATATTGTTAACAAACTGACGTAATTCTGCAGATGAACAACCTTCCGAAAAGATTTTTTTTAATTCGTTAGAAATTTCTCGGCTATCGTTCAATTTTAAAAAAGAATCGTTTCTTTCCACAGTAGGCAAAAATTGTGACAATTCTGTACTATTTGAATAAGACATACGTGGCCTTTTTCTTCCTGTAAAAAATAAAAACAAAAAGAAATAAATTAAAATTATATATTCAATCAGCATCATGAAAACAATTACTAACGACATCATAGAAAGAGAGCTTTTCTTTTTTTGGCGGGGAAGCTCTTCAGAAAACAAAATACGAATGTCACTGTGCATGACTTAAAACTACACTTTGGCATTACTTGACTTGTTGTTTTTTGTTTAATAAACAGCATTTTTTACAAATATGTATATTCGAAATATATTTCTAATAATAAATGTAAATACCTAGACTTCTGTCACTTGGTTTATATGTAAATTTAACAGCTTCTGAATAATCATTGTCACTTGGTCGTTCTAACTTTACAAAAACTTCTTTTGATGAAGTAATATTTATGTCTTTATATGGCGGAGTGCTAGAATATAAAATTAGATATTTTAGAGATAAACATTACCATTACTAATTTCGTATAAGGGAATTTTTACATACCGAAATACAATAGCATATTGATGATGTACATCTAATTCAGTAAAGCGGCCATAATCGCACCAGACTTCATGATCATCTTCATCCAATTCAAAAAATTTGACTTTGATATTTTCTAAAAACAAAAATTAAATAAATTTAATGCATTTTTCATTATGATGTGTTATTGTTTTTTAATGACGGAAACAAAAGTGTTTGTTTACTTTTTCCAACTTTTTCTACTAGCATAAATACTTCTTCTCCGCCTTCGCAAGAACTTGTAAATTTGTCAATTCTACAGATTTTCAGCTCACCAGTAAGAGCACTTTCTAAAAGAATAAAAATTATACAAATAAACTTACTATATTATACAAATATGAAAAAGATAAATTACATTATTTTTTATTATAATACTTACTAAGATTATTAATTGGATTAGAGTAAACAGGCTGTGTAATTGGCACCATAACATTATTTGCATCTAAAATAAAAGCTTGAAAGCATAAAGATACGCTATTAAGATTTAATGATTTTTGATAAATTTCTGCATCAGCTTTAATCTGTAAAAATAAATATTTATTTTATTACTCATGCGGGAATAGTATATTACTCACCTAGGGAGGTAAAGTAAGAAATGTCTCAGAGTACATGTAATTGGTGGCCGAGGCGAAGCCGAGGTCAACAAACATGTGCTCTGAAGCTTTCTTATTTACTGCCCATGGTGAGTATACATTTTTTCTGCTCGACGTAGGCGGAAAGCGGCAACTTTGTTTTGAACAGCGGGAGAAAAGTTGACGCTTTTCGCCCGGAGGGAAGAAAAAGTACTATCTTTGCGGTCGCTATTGGGGTCGAGAAGACGCTGTTTGCCTACTTTACAATTTGATTGCGAAAAGTTTACTTGTCGCACCCAAATTATACTTAGCACACGCACATTGACGACAAAAAAAAGACAATCAAAGTGTCAATATTGTAGGCGATAAGATTAATATGTAGTTCTTTCTTTATTTTATTTCTTGTTTAAAAACGCTATCTTAGACGATAAGATTAATATTTAGTTCTTCATTTATTTTATTTCCTATTTGAACACGCTATTGATCTTGTTGAAAGGAAACTCCACTCGGAAATTGGGGGGGAAACGATATTCCGTTGTTTAAAAAAAAAGCGAAGTTCCGTTATGCATGATTTCACTACGATCTTTATCAAAAACAAAAGCTGTACCCATCAGTTGACTATGGGGGAGGATCCTTCTGCTATTATTGGTCGATAGTATTCAAAATCTCCTTCCCTCTCCAAAGGGGTGTTACTCATTTATGATATAAATATGTGAGAGCTTTAGTTTTTGAGTTCCTTAGTCTCTATCAGTTTTTAATCTGTATCAGTCTGTATATCTGTTTGTCTGTATCGGTTCCTTAGTTCATAGTTCTCAATTTAATAATTATACTTTCAGTCTGCTATATTCGTCTGCGTATTTTATTAATCAGTTTATCAGTTTATTAGTCAGTCAGTCAGTCCGTTTTATATTTATAATTCTTTTGTATTCTGTATTTTTGTAACAACGCCTTTTTTTTTGTAAACCTTTATAAATACTGCTCGACATCACATCATCATAATTTAATAAACTATATTATATCATCATCTTCAGTTAGTTATATTTCTCTGTCTGAACCCCACAATATCAAAGAAGTGAAGTTGACATTTAAATAAAATAATTTAAATAAGAAACATGACTGATAATCCCCACTTGATTCTGAAAACTGATGATGAAGATAGTGATAAAAGAGATGATGAAAGTGAGTCTATACCGCCTGAAATTATTGAAAGAGCAAATGAGGTGATCAATAATCTAACTCCTGCAACATCACGATCAAAATATGAATCGGCATACCGAAAATTTATGTTGTGGCGAACAGCAAAACGGATTACAAGTTTTTCTGAAGCGGTTTTTTTAAAGTATTTTAGTGAACTTTCCGAAACCCTCTTGCCGTCAAGTTTATGGGCGAAATATTCAATGTTGCGAAGCATGGTTGATATTAAGCACAACCTCAATATATTCAATTATTCAAGATTAATTGCTTTTTTAAAGCAAAAGAATAAAGGTTTTAAGAGCAAGAAAGCTAGAACATTGAGTCCTGAACAAATTGACCGATTCCTGCGTGAAGCTCCAGACCGCGAATTCTTGGCTACAAAGGTTGTTAAATTAATTAAATATTTTAATGTGATCTATGAATCAATCTTAATTGGAATTTTTTAATAACAGGTTGCTTTAATTTTTGGGGTGCTAGGTGCATGTCGGCGAAAAGAATTGTGTAACGTAATGATGGATGATATACAAGATAAAGGTGACATGCTATTGGTAAAAGTTCCGGACACTAAAACTGGCAAATCTAGATCATTCATAGTGACGAACGAATTTTACGATATTTATAAAAAATATGCCAAATCACGTCCTACCAACTTAAAAACAAAAAGATTTTTTATTAGTTATCGAAACGGTAAATGTACAACTCAAAACATCGGCATCAACACTTTTGGTGGTATGCCGAAAAAATGGCAACGTTTTTGAAGTTGGCAAATCCAGAAACTTACACTGGACATTCCTTTAGAAGAAGTTCAACTACTTTGTTGGCTGATTCTGTTGCTGATCTTCTTATCATAAAAAGACACGGAGGATGGAAATCGAGTTCTGTTGCTGAAGGCTACATCGAAAATTCCGTGGACAACAAAAAACGAATCGGTCAACAAATCGCAGCTACTATAACTTCCAGGCCGTCTACTTCAATAGCTCAGCAGCCACAAATTGATGTAGCTAATGAACCAGCAAGAGAAGCACCGATCGACATTGGAGTAAAAAACAAGAACAATTTGAATTTTGAAATTTTTAATACGGTCCCATCAACAAATTTCCAAAATTTAAATATCTCGTTTTCAAATTGTTCGAACTTAACAATTTATTTAAACGGTAGTAAAACTAATTAAAAAATGTTGTTTAATTTGTACTTGATTGTTCGCAATTTGTATTAATGTGTTGTATTAGTGTTTGATTGTTAAAAAAATAAATTTACTTAAAATTTTTTAACTTTTTCAGTATTGTTTTGTGGAAAGGGGGGCTCCGCCTCCCAACCCCCCGCTGGGGCTCTGCCCCTGGACCCCAATGATGTACCAAATATGTCCTCGCATTCGTAATAAAAAATAGTATGTGCAACTAGTGCGAAGTTGGCAATCGACAACTTGTCGCACTAGTTACACAATATGCTATTTTCAATTTTAATTTATATTATAAAAAATGTTTTAAGAATTCATATGTCAATATTTCAAAAGATAAATCTACAACGTTGTAAAAAATAGATTAAATGTACGCAGAATAATTTTTTCAAATAAAATTTTCATTTCAGATTTATCTTTTGAAGTATTGATATACATTGATAAATCATCCTATATAATATAAATGAAATAATTATATTACTATGAAATTATTCATACCTGTACTTCATCACGCATCGAAATAATAGCATTAACATTTTTCCTTCTACGTTTTTCTAGTAACTCCATTTTAAGTTTTCGTATAAGCTCATCTTTAACATGTCTTTTTGCTGTATGTATTATACCCATTCCATAAAATCTACAAAATATTGAATACAGAAAATATATAATAAAATTTGATGAGACAAACACATATGGAAATATTTTGTATTAACATACATAGCAGTATATCCATTTTCTTGAGAAACTTCTATCTCATGGGGATCATCTCGATCTTTTTGCCCATTTCTTCTGATCAAATGATGAGCATGTGGAATTCTTGGTCTTTTGTCATCTGATGTAACCACTGTACAACGTATTATTGCTTTCTCACGAAAATTTCTTAACTACAAAAAAATTTGATAATCTTATTAAATCTTATTTAAAGTAAAATGCTATAAATTTAATTAATTAAATTAATATTTTTGCTACAAAATGAATTATACTTACTTCAACTGTAGGAGCACCCTTTTTATTAGCTATTACGCTATTTGCACTTAAAGTTCCATGTGTACCAATCATTTCAGATTTATAACGAAATCTAAATTTTTCTACCGGTTGTTCTAATATCACAATATGTGGTACACCTACAACTAATTTGAATAAGGAAAATTTTATTTATTATTGTTTAGAATATACTTAATATCATATATTGTTATTAGATTACTTTAAAATAAACAAAAAAAAAATATATATATATATATACCAGTGTAATTATCTAACAACAAATATGTAGGCATATGTGATGGTGATGAAGTAGTAGACATAGGTGAACCAGAATTGAAATTGAATTGACAATCTATAGGATTGTTGTAAAGACTCATTGCATTAGTGCTGCTAATTAACATTGGATCTGAATAAAAAAAATATATATATTTCATTAGTCTACAAAAAAAAGTTTCATTCGTTATATATTTAAATGCAGATTGCAATCATAAAGATAATTTCAAAACAAAATATGAAATATGAATTAATCCTTAACGGTCAATAATAATTCTTTAAATGTTTGCCTCTAAGAAGACAGGACAATTGCTAAATTTGTATAAAACAAATTTACATTAAAAACAAAGTTACATTAAAAACTAAATTCTTGATATATTTTTACAAATGGGGCCTTGTGCATATTTTTCTATGGCATAAATATTATGTTTCTACATTAAAGCATTTCTTCTTAAAATTCTGATCACATGTAAATATAAGCCTTAAAAAATGATACAATTACCATTTCCATAAATACCATAATCCTGCTGGCCATCAAATTCTTCTTTCATCATGTAGTTTTCATATATTTCCGGCATTTTTAAATGCAATAATTGAAGAAATATATAAATCCTGAAATATTCAATTTCTTCCACAAAAACCACTAACTTTCAAAACCCTAATTCTATATTTTATTCCTATATCCAAATGAACAGGCAACATGCAGAAACAAACGATTGCAATCTTTCAATGGTTTCGTCAAACGGCACATGATTTACTCACCAAACATATTGAAATACTGATTCATTTCTTTACTGCGCCAACAAAATAACCTTGATAAAATATCAGGAGGTTTTTCCCCGTCAGTTACTAATACAAACAATCAATCTCGTGTATGATCTGGGTTTTCACGAGCACAACCGTACACTCAATGTTCAGTGCCTTGAGCTTAGAAGAATTTTTAAACTAATTGCACTTTTTAACACTAAAATTAAATTAAATGTTTTTTTATTTAGTCGATTATAATAAGTATACATATATAAATATTATATATAATAAGAAAATTTATATAATATATAGATAATACTTACATATACAATATATAGATAAATTTCATTTAGTTATACAAAAGTAAATAAAATATTCTTAATTATGAATCATTTATAATATTTAAATAATATGTCAAAAAATAATTATATTGTAAATAAAAAGTATAAGTAATATATTTAAAGCATTTACTCTACAATGAAACTGAATTTATATTGTAACTGAATTTTTTGAAAGTTTTTTTTTTTTAATCTACGATGCTTCGTGTATACTATCATATATTAAAGTAATAATCAGATTCAATAAAATATATTAGTTTCTAAAATGAAAATATTTAAAAATGATCGATTTAGTATTCATAGTTCCATTGTTGATTTTTTTTATCCTTGTTTTTACCTAGAATTTTTTTTTTGTATATAACACTGGAAATTTTCCAACATGCAGAAGTACTTTTGTCTTTATGTCGATAAATTACCAACAGAGTTTAATGAACAAACAAAGAATATAGGATTATATAGAACATCGGAAGTCCACTTTTCATGCAAAAAATGTATCTTTGTTAGCACCGGGATCACCAATGGGCGATAGTAAAAAAAATATTTTGGAATAATCGAGTTCTATAATAATTAACTAAAAAAATTAAGATTCAATGACATGTATATTTATTATGTAACTTAGATAATATAATAATTATGGTAAAAAACACGCGTTATTAAAATAGACTTGAGACTGTAGTTGCGTGGTTATTTCGATCGAAACGCGCTTAGCGACGAAAATTGGTACTTGTCAAGCAGGGCAGCCACGATATTCTATTTTTTGATAATATTGTACTATTCTTTGATAGATTGTATTATCATCGCGTTAAGTATCTACTATCGCCCACTGGTGGTCCCGGTGCTAACTAAGATGACTTTTTTACACCGATGGATGCAGTACCGTTCACTGTTAAAATTTTAAGTAGAACATAGATAAATTAATATGGACATGTCATGGGTGTAGTGGGGATTAATATCGTAATGCTTTAACACTTAAATAAGGAAAAGGCACAGTGTCAAACAGTATATAACTTTAATTCATTACAACATCAACAACACTTTCACAATTCTGTTTTAACAGACATAAATCACTAATATGTCTAATAAAAATAAAAAGATTGGTATCGTCGGCAGGTAAATAAATTTTCAAATTTAAATTAATTAATCTAATTAATATATGAATTTATACAAAATTAGCTTTATTTTAATTTATAAATTGATTAATATAAATTAATAGAATATTTAAATACGACATAGTAAAAATAATTCTTTGTTTTAAATTTTCCCACGTTAGGAATTGTTTTGATAATAGAAATAAACAATTTTTAATTCATTCAATACACGATCGATATTATACTTTATGTATAATAATTTGAATGTTTTTAAGTAAAATAAATAGAAAAAAAAAGTTTAGAATTGTTTTATTGATTTCTAAGAAAGACAATTACGTTACCTTGATTCTTTTTTTTTATTTCTTGTTGACTGCATGTAATGATTCTATTTAAATTCGTCATTCGCATACCTTTAACTTCCTGTATCTATACGATATTTATTTAATTCAGTCACAATTACAAGAAAAAAAAAAATTTTAAAGTTAAGAAAATTATGTAAAAAACACTTGTTACTTTTACCGAATAAATAACTAGAAATTCGTTACGGTATATTTTTTTCGGAGATAAGATAATGAAATAGAGTAGTAAACATTATAAGATTAATTCTTCGTTTCATAAATTTTATATGCCATACACAACGTGTATGCATATACATATATACCTACATACATACATACATAATATTTGTATGTATGCGTGACTTAATCATGCATAATATAATTTACAATTTATCACATCGTATTATTTGCGATAATATAAAATTTGGAACTATCGATTTAAATTTATACTATATAATAATATTATATAATATCTTATATATCTTAATATTATAATTATTTATATATAATATTATATATTTATTAATTATTTATTATATATATATATATATTTTTTATATATTTTATTACGTGTACATTAAAATATAAATGCAATTTTGTATGCAAATTTTCAGCGGTTTAATCGGCCGCAGTTGGGCAATGCTGTTTGCTAGCGTAGGATACCAAGTGACGATTTATGATGTTGTTAAAGATCAAATTACGAAAGCTCTAGAAGACATTAAAAATCAATTACAGAGCCTTGAAAGTGACGGTCTTCTTCGTGGTAATCTATCTGCCGCTCAACAACTACAACTTATTAAAGGTATAAAGTGATGTAACGTAAAAAAAGAAAATTATCCCATTGACGTAGTATATGTATAGAAAAAAAAACTTGTTCAATTTTTAACTTTTATTTTTCGAACGTAAATACCGTATGATACGTGTTATCTCATTAATTTATATTATCTTTCACTTGGATAATAACATTGATACTTAATCGTATCGATTTATGTACTTCAAATAGTTAAAAATCATGTTGTTATATATATAGCTGTTATAACACATCTATAAAATGAGTTAAGATTAAGATAGACATACGTAAATAAAAAAAACAAATCTAGAATAAATAGAAGATAATCGTTGCAAGTAAAATCAGTAATTTTCCAATGTTTCTATTTTTTGAAGAAACATATGGAAAGTTTATTGATTTGTTTCATTGCAAAAATAATACAAAATAAGATTACTTACTTTTTCATTCAATTGATTTTTAATACAATTGTATATGCTGTAAATTAATATAAAAGTAATAATAAATTTGCTTAATAATTTTCAGGTTCATTAGATTTAGCCGAAACTGTAAAAAATGCTACGCTTATTCAGGAATGTGTACCAGAGAATTTACCATTGAAACAAAAAGTTTACAATCAACTTGATAGTGTCGTCGATGATAAAGTTATTTTATCATCCTCAACTTCGACATTCTGTCCTTCGCAATTTAGCGAGAAATTGAAACATCGTGATCAAGTAATTGTGTCTCATCCTGTAAGATTTCTTATTGATTATAAATTATGAATTTTGATTTATTTTAAATTGTGATATATTTAATAGAAATATTTAATGAATTTAGGTAAATCCACCGTACTATGTGCCTCTGGTTGAAATAGTCCCAGCACCATGGACTCGTCCCGAAATACCAAGTCAAACAAAAAATATTATGATTGAGATTGGACAAGCACCTGTTGTTCTCAGCAGAGAAATTCCTGGATTTGCATTAAATAGAATACAGTATGGTTCTCTCCAAATTTTGATATTCTTTTATGATAAATTATTATATCATTAATTTTCTAATAAACTTATTATTTAAAAAATCATTATTTTTTAGGTATGCAATTTTGAACGAAGCTTGGAGATTAGTAGCTGATGGTGTACTCAGTTCAAAAGATATGGATGCTGTAATGAGCGAAGGTCTCGGAATGAGATACGCATTTTTAGGTGCTTTTGAAGCTGCCCATCTTAATGCAGAAGGTACATATAGAAGCGTAAATAAATAAATATATAAAACTAAGATGTAATCTTTACTTATAGGTATGAAAAAGTATTGTGAGACATATAATAAAAGCATTTATGACGTAAGTATGACTTTCGGACCAGTACCAAAATTTGTTGGTGAAACAGCAGAGAAAATTAGTAATGAGTTAAACGAAATGTGTCCACTCGATAAATTACAACAACGACGTGCATGGAGAGATAAGGCGTTAACAAAGTTGGCAATCTTAAAAAAAGAATTAAACAAAGAAAAGTAAAGTTACAAATAGTAACACTCCAAATGTTCCACTATGTTAAAAATATAAAATATTTTGATGAGAATAAAATAAAGTGATTTTTATCATACTATGTGTATGCTCTTGAGATATGACTTCAACGTAAAACCGTTCTCTTTCACATAAATAATTAAAAATTAAAATGCACGAACTTTTTAATAATTATAGTAAGAATTGAGAATTTGTTTAAAAAAATAGAATTAAAAATTTTAATAAGAAACGATTACTTTATTCGTATGTCACAGAATAATTAACGTTTCCCACCAACACGAGGTGCAGATTTTTGCGTCACCTTTGCAGCCTTCTGTTTGGGTAAAGCCTTTGTTTTAGGAGGTGCAACAGCCTTCTTTGTGGCTTTTGCTGCTTTCTTCTGTTCTTTTGCTGCCCTGTAAGAATAAAAAACCATTAATTTACGTATTAATACCATGTTTAAATAAATTAAATAATTAATTGTTTTGTATGAATCCGCAAAAGCCAGACAGTGTTATAATAATGCACAATTCTGGGTGAAGCAATCCACTTTTATTCTAAGACATTCTGAAATCTAACATGATATAAAGATCTTGTCAGAGGAACAGTTGTCTATAATGAAAACTATGTAGTAAACTTTATATTTTATCGTTTTAGAAAATCGAATTATACATACTTAATAGCTTGATCCCTTTGTGCTTTACGAATTTCTGGTTTCATATTACGTTTAGCCAAAATATCTGTAAGAGAAGCACCCACAATAGCACGTTGGAATTTTTGAGTGCGCCTTGTTCTTTTCTTGGCCTGTTCTTCTTCTTGACCCTTCTTGTGCTTTCGTCTGAATAATTCATGACAAATATATTATATAAATATTTAAATGAAACAAACATAAATCTAAAGAATAAATAAACATACCTATACAAAACGGTCCATGTAACTTTCCTAGGGTTACGTCTCATTAAGTGAGCGGACTCACATTTTGAATTAAGGAAAGTGAATGTCTACAAAAAAAGTGAGGTTATGCTTGAAGATAATAAATAATTTTTGTATAAAAATATAACTGTGTGAATGTGTATTATCATAAACAACAAATGCATACCGTAGTACTTAAAATTAATATTTTAATATTTATAATAATTCAAATAAATACAAATATACCTTTCCATCAACTTTGACCATGGTTTTACCATGGCCAGGATATATTTTATATCCACTATAAGCACAAAGACCAATCCTAAAAAGATTGACCACATATTAATAAAAATATTTTTTGTATTATCACTAATTATATACTTTAAATAAATTTAATAGGATTGCATTAAGTAAAATAGATACTTTTATACATAAATTTAACTTACTTCATTTTGAATATACACGATATGAAAGTTGAACAAAAATGGACGACTCCGACAATTTAAAGATATGTTCACGCAACAGCTCAGGGCAGCCAACAGAATAAATATTTAATAATCTAAAACATAATATCGAATTTTAGAAAATTTGTTTACACTAATAAAATTTGTTTATACTAATAAATAAAGCTTACTAAAGTTTATTTGTTCAATTATTATTTAAAATAATGCCTATAAATATTTAATCTAAATTATTAATATTAACAGTATAGAATAAATATTTACAAAGTTGTCTGTTTGATATGCAACTTCAGACTTCATAAAAGTCGCACATGCGCACTAAGATTATTATGCATGTGGACGATATGCGTGGTCCATATGCATATCAGGTTATGGTTTAGGTTATGTTAGATAGTGTGTAGATTGACAATAACGATTGATAAACATCTAAGCATTAGTATTATTAAGACAGATGTAAAAATGAAAGATATGGAAATTATTGGTTTTGGAGAGTCAGAAGAACTTAATGAAAATGACGAAGATGAAGAAATTATGGACATTAAGAAAAAAGCTTCTAAGAAGTCAGGAGGATTTCAATCCATGGCTCTTAGCTTCCCTGTTCTGAAGGGTATATTAAAACGAGGTTATAAAGTTCCAACACCTATACAGAGAAAAGTAAGTTTGATTTATATATTATTTTATATGTAATTCTGAAAAGAAATAAAAAAATATTACTTATATGAATATTTCTTTGATAGACAATTCCTTTAGCTCTTGAAGGAAGAGATATTGTGGCAATGGCTCGGACTGGTAGTGGAAAAACAGCTTGTTTTTTAATTCCATTGTTTGAAAAACTCAAGACTAGACAAGCCAAAACCGGAGCACGCGCTTTAATTCTATCACCAACGCGTGAACTAGCAATGCAAACGTTAAAATTCATCAAAGAGATAGGAAAATTTACAGGATTAAAAGCTGTAGTAATATTGGGTGGAGATAGTATGGATAATCAATTTAGTATTATTCATGAAAATCCTGACATTATTGTTGCCACACCAGGTAGATTTCTTCATATATGTGTTGAAATGGATTTACGTTTAAACAATATAGAATACGTAGTGTTCGATGAAGCTGACAGGTGAGATTTTATAAGAAGTTTTTCCATATGGTAGCTTTGATATTTAATGTATTATATAATAGTAATATTATAAAATAGATAATATAATGAACAATATAAAATATTACAGATTATTTGAAATGGGTTTTGGTGAACAAATTCGTGAAATAACTAATAGATTACCAGAGACACGAAATACCTTATTATTTTCTGCCACATTACCTAAAGTTTTAGTAGAGTTTACTAAAGCAGGTTTGAGTGATCCTGTTTTGATACGATTAGATGTCGAGAGTAAATTACCAGAAGAATTAAGTTTATCATTTATTATTTGTCGTCCTGAAGAGAAATTGGCTATACTTTTAGCTCTGTTAAAGAATGTCATTGCAAATGATTCACAAACCGTAGTATTTGCTGCCACTATGCACCATGTAGAATATCTTCATCAGGTAAATATATAAAATTTATTTTTATCTTTATTTCGTTATGGTAGAGCATGAAAAGTAAATATACATATATAAAATTTATCAACAGATATTAGACAAAGCAGGAATTTCAAATACATTTATTTATTCAAACTTGGATTCCTCTGCACGTAAAATAAATGCTGCTAAATTTCAAATGAATAAAGTTAAAACTTTAATTGTTACCGATGTTGCTGCTCGTGGTATTGACATACCTCATTTGGATAATGTCATTAACTTCAATTTTCCAGCTAAATGTAAATTGTTCGTCCACAGAGTAGGTATGTATAATATTAAATAAATCGTATGATTAATTGATCATAATTATTGTTTATTTACAATTATGGATTTTATTACACAGGTCGTTGTGCACGTGCTGGTCGTACTGGAATTGCTTATAATATTGTTACTCCTGACGAGTATCCATATCTTTTAGATTTGCATCTATTTCTTGGTCGTTCATTAAATATAGTTCCTTCATCTGGTACAAGCAATGACAAGGAATATATAATAGGAAAAATGCCTCAAGGCATGATAGAAGAAGAACTTGCAGAATTAATTAATTGGCATAATTCATCCACCGATCTGGTAAATTTAATTCTACTATTTATTTCAAAATAAATAGAAATAATGTAAATTAATTGTATTTTTGTATATAGAAAAACATGGAAAAAGTTTGCGAAAATGCTTATGAACGTTATATCAAATCTCGGCCAGCAGCATCATCGGAAAGTGTTAAGAGGGTGAAAGAATTGAATATTAATTCAGCAGGTATAATACCTGAATATTCTAATATTAATCCTGCCACGATGGATATATTAACCAAAATGAAACAATACAGACCACAGGGAGTATGTATGTTATGATAAATATATGTTCTATTATGTTTGTTTTTTATTGTTAATGTATTTCTAATTTTTACAATATTTTTTTTGCAACAGACAATATTTGAAATAGATAAAAAAACATGTTCGTTGGATTATAAAATAATGAAAGAAAAACGTGCATTTCACAAAGAAAATATTTTAAACTTTCATAAAAAAATGGAAACACTAGAAACCAAAAAGAAAGAAGCAACAAAAGGTAAATTATATTTTATATATATATATATTTTTTTAAATAAAATCTTACACTTTGTTATACTTATATTTTATACACCATTTGCAGATTTGTCTCAGAAAAGTATATTACCTAAAAGTAGTGAGAATGAAATCAATGAAGCATTTAATAAAGTTGTAGTACCAAAGAAACGAAATATAGAAGATTTGTATAAAAATACTAAGAAGAAAAAACGTTTAGCTGTAAAAGATGAAGAATTTTATATTCCGTATTCAGCTCCAGATAAACATACAGAAGATGGGTATGTATCTAAAAGTACATATATATTTTTGTATTACGTATATATACCTACATATATTAATTATAATTTTTAAATTATGTTATAGATTGGCGGTAAACAATTTCACGACAGAAGCAGAAAAAGTACAATTGGATTTAGTTGCAGACAATGAAGAATCTTTACGGTTACAAACACAGCTTAAAAAATGGGATCGTAAAAAGAAAAAAATGATAACTATTAACAACGTACGAATCATAAATTTATAAACAAATATAATGTTTAATTTCGGTTATTTTATTGTCCTTTTTATTGTAGGATCCAAAAGCTGGTAAAATTCGTACGGAATCAGGAGCTTGGATTCCTGCTACTTATAAAACAAATCGTTACACGCAATGGAAAGAAAAAAGTAAAGTCGATGCTTTGGATGATGAAGACAGCGAAGAAGAATCACCAAAATTGCAAAAATGTAAGTTTATAAATATTATACAACAGTTTAAAAATGATAAAAGATACGAGATAATCATTGCGTGATTCATTATTGCATATATGATATATACATGTATAATGTAAATAGATTACTTTGCCAGACAGTGTCATTAATCCTTTGATCTATATAAAGGCACAGCATGATCCACATGTACGTTTCCATAGTACATACTTCTAGTATAAATCGAGACAAGTTGACAAGTCAATCTCAAGCACAGTTAAATGCAGGAAGAAGGTCATTGATCTATCTACGCTCAGTACTGATTTATTTAGTTTCAACTTAGGAGTAATCATTGCATAATCAAAAGACGCTGAATATCATTGCAATATTTATAATATTCTATCTTAAAAAAAAAAAAACGATTTAATTTGAAATCAATTAAAACAAGATAAAGAGAAAGAAGTATAGTCACTCAAAAATATTTGTTGACTCGTCATTTTAATTTTTTAATTTAGTCAACAATTGTTTTACTTCAAATATTTTGTAAACATATAATTAAATCATGCATGCTATATTTATTTTTATATTTTTAACAAGCTCATTGCACACTCATCAATATAACAAAGTAAAGAACATTGTTTATTTATAATAGAGACAACACTTAGTATGCAGACGTATTTGAAGATTTAATGAACTCTAAGTTTATATAGTTGTTTTCAATGAGATTGCAGTATGAGCATAAACTAGGTCATAATTATTTCAATTATTCGCGTTTCTCCTAATGACTCTTGCACCTTACATTTCGTATAAATAATAAGATTTGTTGTAATAGTTAATTATATGCGCGCGAACACGGTAAAGAAACTTTAATTAGGCGCATCTAATTTCATAATTAGTATTTTTACCATAATTATACAGACTAGAAAACACGATCGAAATCAAAAACATTCGTGGAATTTAATAAAGTAAAAACCACCGTGTATATTATTCAGAATGAATTAAAATTGTTTCTGTACTTGCTCGTAGAAAATTATCTTTAAAATATTTTCAATTCTAAAATTGTATTTGTACGTGTGTGTAAACGCTTGTTTTGATAAAAAATACAAAACGTTTGGTTACAGTGCAAACACATGCCAATACACATTGGGCGCGTCATAATCAAAAGATCAAGGAGAAGGTGAAAGGAAAGTCGGAGTTGAAGAGACCGGAACAAATTTTAAAGGCTCGCAAATTGTTGGAGAGGAAGAAACGACGAAACGGTAGAAAGAGCCGAAAAGGTCAGAAAAAAGGAGGAAAGTCTCGTTAAAAGATATCCAACTGTATAGATAGGTATATATATATATATCTACGTGTTGAAACATCTTCGTTTTAAAAATAAACATTTTTCTTACGATGATACAGTAAGAAGTAGAAAAAAAAAATAAAGAAATAAATAAAATTTTTTTAAAGATAAAATTATCACCGATTACTTTTCATAGTTCGTATAAAGTTATTCAAAATTATTAAATATATTTTTTTTACATCTTATGAATTTCTAACGTAATTGAACTATGAAAAAAATTGCAATTGATTAAAAAAAACCCTCGTAAAAATATAATAAAAGTATAGTATTTATTTTTCTATGGGAGGTAATGCGCGTGCCATTTCGTTGGCGTGCAATAATGCCGATAGTTCGAGAATTTAATTCATAGCACTTTATTACGTAACTATCTTAAGATGGTAATTCCTCGATCGTGATAATGCGCGCAAAATTACATAATACAACCATGTATCAAGAAGAATATTCACGTGTAAAAAATAGAAAAAGAAAAAAAGAATATTCGTCGTTTAAATTACCCGCTTTTTTTCGTGGCGCGAAATTTGAAAATGTAAATGACCGCATCGTTATATACAGTATATATTTCAGTATATTCTTTTAAAAAAAGAAAAAAAAACACAAGAAAAAAGTACTTTAATCATTTCTCCACTACCCATATTAAATCCACCCCCTTGAAAAAAAAAAAGAAAAAGAAATGTTTAATTCATTGCCAAAGGTACAAATTTTGTGGACGCCTTCTTACAGTTTGTCATTACATTACTGCGCAACTGCATAATAATTTCATAGAGCGTTTAAAATAATCAGCTAATTATGTTCGCGCACGAGATCGCTGGGACATGTTTAAATGTCGTAACACGACTTGACTAATCTTTTATCGAGGATATATGTCGTGTTTACGATTAATCGATCTTTTCAATCTTGTCATTCCTTTCGATAAGTCTTGAATAATTTTGTTCTTTTTTTTTTTATAAATATATATAATCAAAGATACTTGCAAATAACAATTATTTACGTATTATCATTTCCTTGAATTGAATGGACAAATAACATGTTACTTTATTAAGGAATTTATAAAAGTTTACCAAACACGAACATAGGGAATAGTTTTAAACTACGTTTCAACAGAAATAACTGACACATTTGTTTTCGCGTGCTGATTCATAGTAAGAAAGGATAATTAAGTTTTATCAAATTTAAGAGGATTCCTTTTTGTATCGTAGATAATATCCCGTTATACAATTTGCGATGTTAGAAACTGCCAAGGGAACGTTCGACGAGTCGCTAAAAGTCGGAAAACAAACATCGAGGAAACCTTACAAACTTTTCTAACAAATCAATGCTTCTTCAAAGTATTATAGAATTTTATTATCTCGTTTTATTAATTAACTTTGATGCATACATCGTTAATTCATTTATTATTTTTTTTATTAATTATAATTTTAATCAATTAAAAATTGGAATCGTATTAACACTTTAATGGCTGCACGTGTACGTAGTCAAACGTCGTCAGGGACCCGGTAATATTTTTCAAGAATTAATTGAAAAAAAACCTTTATTATCATTTATGAAAAAATTAACATAAAAGAAAAAACAACAATTTAACAATAAATTTAATTTTATATATAAAGTTATAAATAAAATAACGGCCAATGTGTTCCGGCTATCACACACATGTCGTGTGAGCGGCCATTAAAGTGTTAAAAAGGGATATATTAAATTAATAAAAAAAGAAATGAGATAATAATTTGCAGAATTAACTTCGTAAGTTAATGTAGGAGAAAAAAAAGAAATTATTTATGTTTTTAAATTTTGTTGAACGTTTAGATAAAGCACGAATAAGTGTGTACACATATGAAACATAGTGTTATTTCACATCGTTCGTACAGGCATACATTATTACATATGTGTACGCACATATATATGTATATATTCTTGTGAAAATGTGCAAGGGATCAACGTACGATGTGGCGGAAAATATTACAACGAATTGACAGTTTTCCAATATCGTTATGCCGCCATATGCCTGTCGATTACGTTTTACGATAGAGGATTTGTATGGGAATATTGGGAGAGAGAGAGAGAGAGAGAGAGAGAGAGAGAGAGAAAGAGAGAAAAAATAAAAAAATAATGGATAAGTAGCTCGTAAAAAAACATCAGGATATTAAAAAACTAACGTAGTTGGTACCATATTTCATTTTAATTTAAAAAAAAAAATTCATTTCAAAATATTTATTTTTTAATTTATTTTTTTTTTTTTTATAGAACAATCATACAATATATTAGTATTAATATTATTTTAATATTAAATTTTAATAAATAATATTATTATTTATATAATTTAATAATTATATTATAATATATTAGATATTATAATAAAATTAATAATATATATTATTGTACATTATAAAAAAATTAAATTATAATTTATAATTATATTAAAATTTAATATTAATATTAATATTAATAATTATAACAAACAATCATATAGACTTATAAAAAATTTTTTAATTATTGATTAGATAAATTATAATACTTATTGTTAATTAACTTTATATGATTTAAAATTTACGTAATCATAATTGATTTTGATTATATAGCCTAACACATTTCTATAACACAACGTTTTCATAGAAATTTCCTAATGAATTATAGCAATCGATATTTTATACTCGAATGAAACTATTCACCATTATAGAAATTATTATTATTGTTTCGTTTTAGTTTCACTAATATTTTTTAGGATATCGTGCGTATTTTTCTTATTCGTTTTTTTTCTATTTTTTTTTTTTTTTTTTGAAACAATTAATACAGTACGGTATGGTAAAATTTTCCACGTGAAATTTATTCGATATGAGAATTATTTGAATGGTGAGGTAAAGTTGAGGCGAATGAACTTTCTCTCTCTCTCTCTTTTTATTGGGGAAAAAACAAAAAAACAAAAAACGTTTTTACGCTTTGCTAACAATTTAAATTCGGAATTTAATCGAATTGCATTTTATATGTGTTTTTTTACGGAAAATTTTTCTTTTTTATAATATTTATATAATATTTAGCAATAAACAGTATATATATATATATATATATATATATATATATATATATATAGTACTATGTACTATACTAGTATATGTATATGTATATGTATATGTATATGTATATGTATATGTATATGTATATGTATATGTAGTATATGTATATTAGTAGTATGCATATATATATATATATATATGCTTTGAGGTATTTCGTTTCCCATATATTTTCACATGCACACGTTAAATTCTATGTACGCTTTATCATCTATCTTACTTTACATAGTCCAATCTTTTTTGGCATCTTATAACAGGTAAACGTCATCTATTTCCGTCAAAGTAACGCTTCATTGCGTGCTCTTGACCTTTTTTTCTTTTTCTTTTATGTTTATTCGATATACTCAGAATGATAGATTGTTCATAAAATTTCAATAAATTCTTTGAAATTGACGTTAACTTTATGACACAAAACATAGGATAACATAGTTGATGCATTTTTTAATTGCATTCTCCTTTATTTAACAAAAAAATTCTTGATTATTATTAAAGAATATGTGAAACGATAAACAAATGATTTTTAAATCAAATAATTTTATTTGTATAATTTAAAGGACACTTTTTTCAATCAAAAAAAAAAAATATATATATATATATATATGTATATATTATTTTTTATTTTAGTTTAGTAATAGTAAGAGCTTTGACCTCGATCATTTGTGGAAATTAGATTTGCTTTTACAATTAGGTTCAAGGACAAATAACCTGGTGAAAAAGAAAAGCTTTATATTCGCGATGACTTGCTTCCAGGAACGTATCGATCCGTGGTACGCAGTAATTAACCGGCTACGTTGCGGTACGAAGGATTCAGACGACTTTTCTGACTTTCGTAGAAAGTTCCTTCGATTTAAGCGAAAGCTCTTTCTCTTCCTCTCTTTCCATTTCTCTTTTTTTCCTTCCCTTTTATCGCAACTTCTTAGCGCATTAAGCGAGATTAAAAATGTTTTTTTTTTTTTAAGATTTTTAATAAATTTTTCTTTAAACGTTGACAAACAACAATTTAAAGAAAGAAGAAATTTTTTCTTTTTTATTCGACATCCTCATATAAATAAATCTCCAACAAGCTGTTAACAAAGCTTGTTAACAATAATATTGTCTTCTAATTATTTAAATCTTCAATTTTCTAATAACCATATATTCATTTTTGTTCCCATTAGCACATTTGCAATATAATTAATTTTTCTATAGAATTATTAATATAATAAATGAATATTAATGGATACGATAAAAGTAATATAAAAAAAAATAAAAATATTAAATAAATAAATTAATTAAATATTTGCTATATTTTCTTACATAACTATTTAAATATATACAATTTTTAAAAGATAGACAGATTTAAAAAAAAATTTTTTTTTTAGAAGATAGAATATAAGAGTCCTTTTCTAAAAATATCGGTTATGAAATTATTAAAAAACTATAAATCAAATTTTTAGAACTCTAACATAATCCTAATAATAAATAGTTCTAAATAATTTTGACTTTCTCATTTTTAACGTTACGAAATAAAAATTTCTAAATGAAACCCACACACAGATCCTAGTAAAGAATCGATTAAAATATAAGTTGGACCAAAGTTTGGATAACAAATAAAATAATTCGTTTATATTTTCAATCATGCAAAAATATATGAATGTTTCACTCGTGTTTTGGGTAGGTGTTGTAACACTTTGGTGGCTCCTTTAATATTATCTACCTAACAAGTATATAGATATATGTAATAGGATAGATCGACAGGTTCGAATAGCCGTTTCGCTTGATGTTCAATTGTAAAAGGAGTGAAAGGAATCTCTCAACGTGTTGTGACGTAATTTCTCGTACGTTATTGCGAGTACAACGAATACCGTCGGTCAGTTTCGGTAGCAAGGATATATTGCTGCCAATTCGAATGCATCGAGTGCGTGGAATAGAAAAATACTTTCACACGACCTGTATTTGCTTGTATCTTACGTATAAACACATACATAAACACACATTCCTTTTTTT